GGCTAGAAGGAAAAAAGCTTGAAATTTCTAACCATTTGCGCACGGTAACCATCGCATCAGTCTTGGGAATCTAAGGCTCTTCGCAGAAGATCCTTTGATGGTGATACAAATCTGCATTTCGACCATATTTGCAAATAACTCTTGGAGTTGCTGTTCCGTCAACTTGGACAAGTCAACATCGAGTATTGTTCCTGGCCTTGGGGCAATAAACGGCTCTCCTGCGCATTGTTCAAAGAGCACGGCACCGTTTTTGATTGGTCCTAGTGCACTGCATTCTAAATCAATCAAGCGTGAGATGTATGTCATGATCTCTTTAAAGCGGTCTATGTATCATATTGAACACATATCTATAGTATAATTCTACTTTTTGATTAATCTATTCTATCTAATGTTATCTTAGAAAATCCTTGTAAATCGCTCAATGTACAGAGCAGTCAACATACTTGAGAAGAATCCTTCAATCTGACAATGGGGGCAGATCTTCTTCAAAGCTTTTATGTTGACGGATGGGAGTTTTTGGTTCATGCCCACAAGCAGGATCTTCTCATTTTCAGGGTAGCGAACGTTTGGCGGGATTTTAACAACACTCAAATACGGGTTCTGAACAATAGTGAACACTGGCGTTCCTGAAAATGCTCATTTCAATGGTAAGCTTCACAAAGGACTACCTTTCATAGTAGTGCACGTACCAGGTCTGCATGATTTCATATATCTGAGACGTGGACATCGTAGACTTCTGTAGTCTGTCATGGTCACCGTGATACACACTTCCATATAAACTGCATTCGAACAGAACGCATTCATCTCCTCTTCGGAAACTTTGCTGGAGTCGATTATTATCATCTCCCTTCTGGGTACGATAACTTCTTTTCCAGCACAAGCTCTAACAAAGTCGATCATTGAATAGCCTACACCACTCAGACCACATGCTGAAAAGCAGTGTACTCTCGCAGTTCTAGTATCTAATGAACTGAACTTACAAGGCTCGGTATAAATCACTTCACACTGGTTACACCAGGTGAGGATCTCCTCGATAATTGTACTTGGCAATTTCGGATTGTTTTTGATAATAGCATTTTTGATGCACCCACGTTTACACTTGGGGAATTGCACGTTCTCGAGGAAATAGTTGTACACAAGAGTCAGTGCTGGCTTTCCTGTAATTTAAAAGTTTTAAAACAGGAAGCCCAAACTAATTAGCGTTTTCGGCTTCTTTGAAAAAAACGTTCTCAAAAACCTTATGATAAAGTTGTGCTTAGTGAAGCACTTGGAGCTTCCACATTAACTGTTTATTGGCTATAATAGAAGATAAAGCTTGAGATTTTTACCATTTGCGCACGGTAGCCACCGTATCAGTCTTGGGAATCTTAGGCTCTTAACAGAAGACCCTTCGACTGTGATGCAAATCTGCATTTCGACCATATTTGCAAATAGTTCATGAAGTTGCTGTTCCGTCAACTTTGACAAGTCCACATGGAGTATTGTTCCTGGCCTTGGGGCAATAAACGGCTCTCCTGCGCATTGTTCGAAGAGCTGGGCAGCGTTTGTGATTGGTCCCAGTTCACTGCATTCTAAAACGATCAAGCGTAGGGCATATGTATGTTCTTTTCAAAACTAACTATATAATCAATT